TATATATATATATATATATATATATATATATATATTCCTATCATTATCTTAAATATATATGTATACGTATAAGTAAATAAACAAACGAGTAATTGACATAACAATAAAGGAATAAATAAATGGAAGACAGAATTAGACATAAGTCTAAGTGTTATCATTAGGGCTGCCGTTGTCGATGCTTGTTGTACTGATTTTGTTAGCCAAACAAAAACGATTAGAACAACAGTCTTTGCGCTCGTTGATCTTCTAATAAACTTTTCTAGAAGAAGAAGAAAAAGGAGAAGAGGGCAAAGAAGCTGAACAGGAAAAAAGAGGAAAAACCCTCCCCAACAACCACTTGTCACTGATGAAGTTGAATTGGATAAATTTTGCAGATCAAATTCTGTGGAGACAACAGCAACAACAGCAATAGCAACTACATCAGAATCTGTAGAAGTTTTTCATTATTTTTTGTTAATATTATTTTTTTGTTCAACTAAATGTCATAAGACCTTTTGTATCCGGTATGATAAATAAAGCCAAAAAGCTCAAATAACTTTAACAGAAAATAGTAGATAAAAATAAGATTTAACAATGGCAATATCGCACTAAATTGGATGGTTGAAGGAAAAAAAAGTGATTACCCTTGCAAACGATTAAATGTCAACCTGCTATGCCGTATTATCCCTGTCGATTTACGAATTATGCAGCTACTATCCTCCTTTTTTTTTTTTTGTTTTTAGAAAAATTCTTTCATAAAAATTAAGCTTGGAGAGGATTATTGGCGTTTGCTGTTATTATTACTTATCTGTAGGTGCATGTAAAACAAAAATAAAAGAGTATTCTCCCTTCATGTTCATTTCCGTTTTCAGTTGTTTTCCTTTTCTTTATAACTTCTCCACTTTTTCTCGCTTTCCTCTTTTTTTTTGATAGGAAGCAATAAGAGGAAGACCGTTTGCACATATCGTAATTGTTTCCCAGTTTCAAAAATAAATGAAATTTTTTTCTCTCCTTGTTTTCTCGTTTCATTCTGCTTTGTTTAGTTGTGTTTTTCCTTCTGTTTTGTTTTGTTTTATTTATTTGCTTTTTTTCTGCCTGTTTATTTATTTGTTTTTTGTTTGTTTTTTAAATTCTATCTTTTTTCCTTCAATCGTTATACATTTTTATAACCACTATGAACCTTTTAATGATGACTTTTCCTCCTTTCCCCTCTCCCTCCCCCCTCCTTCCTCTTCCTTCCAATTCACTTATCCTTCATTCCTCCTCCTCTTTTATTATTTTTTTTTTTAGAAATGCTAAGAAGAAGAACAACAAGAAACCAGAAAAAGCCAGGAAGAAATCGGGAAGAAAAAGAAGGTGGGAAAAGAAAGACAATTTAGCAATGACGCCAACAAAAAAGAAGAAAAAAATTGCCAACAACTAATCAACAAAGATCAGTTGTTGTCAGTTTGATAACCCCATAGAAAATACTTTTAAAGAAAAAGAAGTTTTCTTGCAAAAAAAAAAAAAAAATACAAAATATAAATTACAGCAAAAAAAAAAACCAATCTGAATAAAAGAGTAATAAAAAATTGAAGGAAATGTAAAATAATAAACATGTCATTCGCATTTACATTCTTTGACAGATCACTCATTCATTCATTCATCTGTTTCTCATTGTCGCTCACTCATTCAGTTACCTGCTCACCAGTCTGCTTAATCCACTCACTTCCCAACAGCACCAATACTGTTCTTTTATCAACAGCAAATAATATATGTAACTTTTTTTGTAAGATATTTTTGTAGCCCAAAACAACCAAACAAGAAGTAAATAATGAGAAAGCTAAAAAAAAAAAAATAAGCAGAACATCAAATAAGTTAGAGTTTTTCAGAAGTCAAAAAAGAAGAGGAAGATTTTTTTTTTTGTTGCAAAAAATGAAACGATAGACAATAATGTTGTTAGCACAAACGTTCAATGATAATAAATAAAAGTTGATAAATTCAGTGCATATATAAAACCTGTAAAAAAAATCGAAAAATTACAGCAGAAAAAAAACCCGTATACATCATGTTGTTCGAATCGTCACAAAACACATAACACCTACAATCTACACATATTGCATAAAAATCCGTAGGTAAAATAATATTTTTTGTTTCTTGAATCTGCAAAACAGAAATAGAACAAAAACAAAGTAAAAAAAAAGAAACAAATTAAACAAATAAAAAATTAAAAAAAAAACACAATAAAAAGAACAGCAAAAAATAGTATCCGTACAACAAAATTGCCGTTTCAAATCTTAATTTTAAACCAAGAATCAGTGGCCGACTTCAGCAATAAATTAACCATTTAAATTGTCTTCAACTATCAGCTCAAAAAAAGAAAGAAAAAGGAAAAAAACCAACAGCAATTAATTTGAACGGTATAGAAAACGAGCAAAAATACAGTTTTTAAATGAAAAGATCAGTCTTTTAATTTTATCAAAAGTATAACAAAATCTGAAAATAACGATAAAAATTTAGCAGTTAATCAAATATCAGTCAGTCAGACCAGTAAAGTTCAATGCATTTCAATCGGTTTTACTGAGCCTCAGTTTCAACTAGTTGTAATTAGTCTCGACTAAATAAAATTTAAAGAGAGTAAAAATTAAAACCTTTAGTTGTTGGTTAATTCTCTTTTTTTTTTTGTTTTTCCTTTTGAAAAGTGCAAAAATTTTATTTAAACTTTCTTTTTTTTTGCGTTTTGTTGTATGTGTATATAGATTTGTCTGTTTTGGTTGGTTCGCTACTTGTTCAGGTGATTTGGATAATTTGCACAAGTAAAAACAAAAAGCTAATACCCGTGAGTAGGATTCAATAAAAAGTTCGAGTTTATGCTTAAGAAAAAGAAAAGAGGAAACATAAACAAATTGAATGCAAGATGATAATTTGTGGAACCAAGTGGAAACCAATAATGAAAATAAAGGTTGCAGAAAAAGAAAAAAGAAAAGAATGTAACCAATAAAAATAGATAAGAACAAAAGAAAGAAGGATTTGATACAAACTTTCCTTGAGCTGTTAATGGTGTTATGTATCAGTTGTGTTCTATGACTTTTTCTGTGTGTTTTTGAATATAATACATGCTGCGGGAAAACTAAAACTACTTCAAGTTCACTTAACGATATGCCCGCCGGAAATGACTGCATCTAAGAGAAACTCAAAAAATAGCTCCACCGTATCGTTCGTTGGTTGGTAGAGCTGACGACTCATTATAAAAAAAACCGATTTTAGCATAGTACATAAGCGATCTTTGCTTTATTATCGTTATCTTTGATATAACTGGCAACAACTAATCAATCAAAATTGCTCCACATCCGAACAATTTTATTCTCAACAACTCTTCCGTGTATTCCTTTATCCCAACCCTTCGTTTCCGGATATTCTCAAATGACAATCAATATAGATGGCCCCAGCAGAAATCCATAGCTGTTTGCTTTTTGAAATTTAGAAAGATTGAGATAAGTGGTTGACAAGTACCGATCATAATTGAAAAGCTCTTTGAAAGTACGAGGGCGGAGAAGAAAAAAACAATTGAAAAATGGGAACAAACAAAACAGTTTTTTGCCAAATTGTTAAACCACAAAAAATAGGAGCGGATTAATGACGGTACAAATCCAAAATGTTGTTTGGTGGTCAACAGTTAAAACTGGTCATGTTGGTAGCCCAAAAATCATTCATAGAAAATGTGATAACAGCAATAAGGCAAAGAAAAATAAAATAAGGAACAAAAACGAAGAAATATTCTTGATTTCTTTTCTATTTAAATTTATGAATTTTTGGTTCTAGACAAAAACTGAGTATAAAAAATAAAAAACTTTTTTCAAAAAAAAGAAAAAAAAAATTTCTTTCTTTTTACTGTTAAAATTAAAAAAGAGTTTTTTATCCGACTTTTAACCTTCTTTAATTGTTCCTACAAAAATAATTAAGAAATCGGCACAAAATAATCTTTTTCTTTTAACTATTTTGCTTTCAAACTGAAAAAAAAAAAAAAAAAAAAAGAAAAGAGGCATTTTGAAGATGACAAGTTGGAAGGAAAAAAAATTTTTTTTTTGACTGTTAAAGAGTGGGAGTGATAGATGAAAAAAGTTTTTGAAAGATGAGGGTGGACGGGAATTGCTTACTGGAAAATGGCTGTTGCGCAAAAACCAATTGCTAAATCAATTTACAAACCAATTTGAGTGGCAATGTAACAATGCTGCCGCTGTTTATCGGCTTTAAAAAACTTTCATTCACACATTTTTCCCTCTGATTTCACAAGCTTTTTTTCTGACATTTGATTTAAGATTTG